TATAAATATCAAAAATTTTCGTTTTATCTTTTTTCTTGGGTATGCTAATTTCTGTAAAGTGCTATAAAAATAGATCTGATTCCTCTTCAGATAATAATAACAACACAGAACAACATTGCAAAGGATGTGATAAAGATCATCCTTGTAGTTTGTTCATTGATAATAATAAAACATTTCGTACTTGTAATTTGTGCCGCACTCAAGACAAAAAAAATAAAAATAAAAAGCACCCCAAAGAACATAATAATAAAATAATTGTAGATTTTCATGATTTTTATAACCATATTTTGACTCATTCGAAGGTGAAATAGTAGATAAGAATCAAGAAAATTTAAGGCCTTTAGAGTTTGAATTTTAATATTTTTCCATACAAATTTAGCAGCTGATATTTGAGAAAAATCCTTGTCTATCAAAAAAAATTTAGGATTAAGCCCAAGCAAATATAATTCATAAAAAAAGTCAACTAAAACACCTGTATGTATTCCATTATTACAATTTCCATTATTTTCAAGAAATAAATATGCCAGTGGATATCCGCTTCCATCAACTTGTACATGAACAATATATAATTCAAATCTTAGATTATTTGTATTGTCTTTATTAACAATAAATAATAAGTTTAATAAATAATAATAATATATTATTTTATAATAGTGTAAATAATAAATAATATACTTACAAGTCGAATCAACCCCAATTTCATCAATTTGAATATTAGAACTTTTAATAATTTCCCACATTCTAGTTAAAAATTCTAGTGTCTGAGGTGAGTTTTTTTGAATTATTATTTGATATACATTTTCTATCAACCATTTTTGCACTGAAATAAATGCATCATCATCATGTTTATATCATTTTTTACCAAGTTCAGTCCACCAAAAATGAATTTGTTTTTGGTATATATTCATGCTTAAATCTTGCATTACTAAATGTTTATATATTTCACGTGGAAGTAAATCAATATTTTCTAAAATATACTGTTTTATTTCTAAAGAAATTGAATTATCTAAG